ACCAATAATAGTGTTGTTAGTACAAATATTAATTTAAAAAGTGCTGGTGTAAATCAGCAATAGTGTCATAACTTGAAAAACAACAATTTTATGGTTAGATTCAAGTCAACAAGAATGCAATATCTCGAAATGTAGCTATGGAAATTACATACCTGATTCAACAATAATGTAGAAACTGGAAATGATGATCAAAGCAACACGTGGGTTCTTGATCACTGTTGGTCGCAACTAAAGATGACGCTATTGTGAGGGGGGTAACCACAGTCGGTCAGTCATGAATAACGTCTCATACCGCCATCTCTTATTAATTTATTGCACTATTTAAACGACAATTTTTCGTGTGGATATAGTGTTATGTCAATTTCGAAACATTTTGAGTTGCGACACTATTGTTATACTAGTGCGATATGTAATGATTGTGCAGATTGACTCCCATATAAATTTGTAACGGTGAACGCGTGTATAGAAGTATAACTTTTACCGACAGTTGCCACCCCCATTTTTTTTAATAGATCTTTTACTCAGAGTAATTAGAATATCCAATATTTATCGACTATTTTTTTTCTTCGTAAAGATGCAATGTTCGGTTACCTATAAAATAAAGTAAGCTTTCTTTTATTAACTTTATTCCGCTGATCGAACCGGTTGCGGTAACATTTTTCATATGTCACAAAAATTTGGTTAATAAAATACAAACGGCAACATGAAAGAAATATCTAGGTGGTTTAAATTTCCGCCTGTATTTTATTTGTACTTCGTATCCAATTCGCAAACTATTGGAGAAGCATTCGGTCGAAAACGGTGGCGCGCTCTCTCTCTCTATATATTTATGCGACGTGTTTCCTAGCAAGTTGTTCAAGATTAAAGATATTGTAGGATAAAAGAGACTGCAGATATATCGACGAGTGTGCTCGACGGATCCTTACGGAATACATTGTTGTGTAGGGGACAATCGTAAAAGTTTCAACTATTCGACGAAATTGTGTCACTTACTCCGTAAATCATTTTAGCAAAATGAACCGTCCTGGGAAGTATTCGTCTGGATTCGTTCAAAAATATCGAGCGTGTACGATTTATCTTTTATGGGTTTTATATGAGGTGACAAAGACTTTTGATTTAGATGTTTTTCTTGATTCTTCTATTTCTTGTACTGTGTAGTGGAACAGAGATGATAAATTGGATGGTTGCTATAAAATTCGTTTAAAATATGTGGGAAAATTTTCGGCGTTTACATATAAACCTCCATTTATACTATCTAAAAATAGTATTACCAATTACGGTATTTATATTAAACGAATAGGAAAAATAAATTTAAATTAATCGGTGACTGGAAAAACAATATAACTCAAAAATTATGCATTTGGGATAACCTGAACAACAGTTTATTTCAAACAGTATACATTACACAATAAATATGTACATTGCAAGATTAAAGACAATCAAATGCTTTAAACGAATGTAAAGAAAATAGTACATTGTTTACCGGGTAGGAAAAGCTTAACATTCCTGGACGACTGTGAAGATTGCTAAGTCGAGGCGCAAGCCGAGACTTAGCAACACAGAGTCCAGGAATGTGGCTTTTCCTACGAGGTAAACATACTATTTTTCCGCAAATCGTTTAAAATTCGACAGATATTGATTGATTTAAAAAAAACGCGATAATTTTATTCCCAAATAAATGGTGCTTTGAAATTCCTAATAAAATTACTTGGGTTACTATGGAAACGTATTGAGGTTGAATTGTCAAACTTGACGCTTATAAATTTAATTGCTGGTGTTCTCGAAAGTAAAATGATAAGTGATGATGAAATTTCCATTTCTGGGACTCCTCCAGAGCTGGTTGAGGCAGTGAATACTGCTTCATTAGAATTATTGCCAAAGAAATCAAGAGAAAAGTACGAAAATGCATACAGACGTTTTATGGATTATCGCATGAGTAAAAATACGAGTTCTTTCTCAGAAAATGTTGTAATGGCATACTTCCTAGACCTTTGTTTAAAGATGAAATCTTCAACATTATGGGCCAATTATTCAATGCTGAAGTCAACCCTTGCACTTAAACACAATGTAGATATATCTACATACTCAAAACTTCGTTCTTTATTGAAACGGCAAGCTCAAGGTTATAGGGCAAAGAAATCTAAGATTTTAACGAAGGAAGAAATTGAAAAATTTATCCAGGAAGCTCCAAATAAAGAAAATTTAATGATTAATGTAATTTACAAGGTTTTAATTTCTATTTAGATTATAGCTTTATTTATTTTTTAGGTGGCTGTAATATTTGGTATTTCTGGGGCCTGTAGAATGAATGAGTTAGTCCGAATGACTGTACACGATATAGAAGACTTAGAATCTAAGCTTTTAATCAGCATACCTGATTCGAAAACCAACAAACCAAGATCATTTGTAATTAATCAGATCTACTTGAATGTTTATCGAAAGTATGTTTCGTTAAGACCAGAAAATATGAACAGTGACCGATTTTTCTTTAAATATCAAAGCGGAAAGGGTTGTAGACAAGTGGTAGGAATTCATCAATTTAGAAAAATGCTCAAAATAATTGCTACTTATTTGAACTTGGTAAATCCGACAGAATATACTGGTCACTGCTTTCGTCGGTCTACTGCAACAATATTGGTTGACTCTGGTGCCGACATAACTAGTTTAAAGAGGCATGGCGGATGGAAGTCATCAAACGTTGCTGAAGGATATATCGAAGAATCGCTTAACAATAAGGTTGAGGTGGCAAATAAAATTTTCACAGTACAAAATATTCAACAAAATGACACTTCCACCCTGCATGTTGTCCAAAATGTTTCTCATAGTTCTAAGAGTGTTCCTCCAATGTTCAATAATTGTACTAACTGTCAAGTTACTGTAAATATAACAAATTGATCTTAAAAATGTATTCAGCAATGACTTGATGTTTTCAAAATATAAATTAATTCCTTTTAAGCAATGTGTTTTCTATCATTTATGTAGAACACTAACAACAAATTATTTTTTCCGCAAATCGCCAGGAAATTTTGACATTCCTGTCAAAATTCCTTGAAGAAAAGTTCAGGACTTCCTTACTGTAAGGAAATGTCATTTCCTTATTGTAAGGAAATGATATTTCCGTACAGTTGTTAGTGTTCTACATAAATGATAGAAAACACATTGCTTATAAGGAATTAATTTATATTTTGAAAACATCAAGTCATTGCTGAATACATTTTTAAGATCAATTTGTTATATTTACAGTAATTTGACAGTTAGTACAATTATTGAACATTGGAGAAACACTCTTAGAACTATGAGAAATGTTAAAGATTTCATCTTTAAACAAAGGTCTAGGAAGTATGCCATTACAACATTTTCTGAGAAAGAACTAGTATTTTTACTCATGCGATAATCCATAAAACGTCTGTATGCATTTTCGTACTTTTCTCTTGATTTCTTTGGCAATAATTCTAATGAAGCAGTATTCACTGCCTCAACCAGCTCTGGAGGAGTCCCAGGAATGGAAATTTGACAATTCGACAATTCAACCTCAATACGTTTCCATAGTAACCCAAGTAGTTTTATTAGGAATTTCAAAGCACCATTTATATGGGAATAAAATTATCGCGTTTTTTTTTAAATCAATTAATATCTGTCGAATTTTAAACGATTTGCGGAAAAATAGTATGTTTACCTCGTAGGAAAAGCCACATTCCTGGACTCTGTGTTGCTAAGTCTCGGCTTGCGCCTCGACTTAGCAATCTTCACAGTCGTCCAGGAATGTTAAGCTTTTCCTACCCGGTAAACAATGTACTATTGTTTTTGAATAAACGACATGCGCGCCCAAACGTCAGTTGGAGTTATACTGTTAAAATATTTACCTTATTAATAAAATAAAACAACAAATTTGAATAACGTGTATTATTTGTAAGATATTTGGCCACATCCAAGTTTTTAGAACGTAAAAGCAATATCATTTTTGAAAGAACCTAAAAGAAATGGTACTTATTGGTCTTTCTGAGTCGCCTCAGCATTAACATTGGTGCATTCCCATGACGTAATGTGATAAAAAAATTCCAAAACTTCTTCTCTCATGTATCGTATTACATTTTCAAGATTATCAATTTTTTTATATTGATTGGTAATGTTTTAGTGTAAGCAGGATTGGTTGGTAAAATTTGGGTTGCTTTAGGTTTGACTAACTTGAAACTGCTTGTGACGAATCCGCCAACATAATTGCTAGTTGTGTCGTACTCTGCTGTACAACTACCATAAGTAAATTGCCTGTAATGTGATATGGTAAATTTTTGTTCCATCGGAAGACTGGATGATTTTTTTGAAGTGGTTTGGCCACCAATTTTTGTAGTCAATTATGTCTTTATGACATATTGTTGAAATTGTAAGTGGCTTTAATTTGCAACAAGGTAGCATCATCTTTTCGTAATCTTCTTTAAGATATATTCTATCGTATTTTCTTACTACTTTCTTTAAAGTTCCAAAGTCCCTGTCACACGGCAAAAAAGATTGACCGCACAATGGGAAGTAGTGAAAAATTTTACAAAACCGTTTTAAAGCTGCAAGAGCTAATAAATATCTGACTACAGTATTGTTCCGCTTGTTTGGCAGCAGAACGAGAAGTAAGTTATGTTGAGTTTTGGATTTTTAAGGAGTTTGATTTTACGATATGAATACGATGCTCAGTGGCTAAATTTGGCCGAGCAGCTAAAGAAGTTGCTACTTTCAACTGCCCCTTTGTTCTCAAACAAGTGGTTCTCAAGCAACAGTCAGTCAGCATAATATCATCAGCGATGTGATAGTTAACATTCACAAAGAGAGTCTGACTTTATAATTATCGTGACGTCTAAATACACAACCGCTTACTATGTGCATTTAGCACAACGGCGTTCATTATGCCCGGTTTGTTGTACCAAAGAATAAGTCGATAAATAATTTCAGTAGGACAGTTTTTTTATCAAAATTTTGACTAATTAACATTGCTATTTTTTTTTTTTTTTCAGGAAAGTCGACGGGGATAGTTACAAATACAAGAATAACACATGCCACACCTGCTGCACTTTACGGTCATTCCCCATCAAGATACTGGGAAGACGACTCCAAAGTACCACCAGCGGCTAGAAAATCATGTAAGGATTTGGCTAGGCAGCTTATAGAGAATGATCCGGGAAGAAATATTAACGTAAGTTATATTAAAATGGTATTATTATATAGATAATAATATTTATAAGTTATCTCGATTCATTTTTTTTTGTAATTCCACTTGTTCCACTTGTGTTTGTTATAGGTAAAATTACCAAAGTGTGGTTACCTGTTTATTTTATTTTCTATTTTTTTGTTACACACAGATGTACTTCGGATTTTCCATACTAAAGTAGTTAGTAATACTTTACGTGTCTCCTGGAAAATTAGCAAAATAATTCTGTCAAAACGTCTTGTTCGGGAGCTTTTTTACTCAACCTTAAATTAACTTATTTTAAGATTTTACCAATACAATTGTGTCTATATGTATACCAGCCGCAGTCCCAACAAAACCAGAAATAATTGTTGCGAATCCGGAATTAGGCAATCTAGATACTACAATTAAAGGCAACACCAATCAACTAAAAATTGTATGTATTAATTCCCAATCTATTCTAAACAGAATACATCTTATTGAATTATTATTTAAAACTGAAAGTCCAGATTTACTATGTATATCCGAATTATGGTTTAATGACATCAATATAAATTATTTTTATTATCCTAATTATCTCTTAGGTTCGTACTATAATCGAAGTGATCATATACATGGTGCTGTACTTTGATTTGTAAAGGTTAATTTTAAATTTAATATTCCAAGTTTTTTCACGCAAATCCGTTAAGATTTTAATTTTGAATGTTGTAGTATTAGAAGAAATCTTTGTAAAAGTGGTGTACATAGTGAAAGGAAAAAAGCTAGTTTAAGAAACCTCAATAAAGAAATAAAACGAAGATGTAAGGCCGGCAAAAAACAGTACTATCAAAGTATATGCAAAGAAATTGAGAGACATGGTCAGAATAATCAGCAGAGAGATCTATTTAGAAAAATACGACACCTGACAAGAGACTTCAGAGCTAGAACTTGGGCCATTGAAGATAATACTGGAACCCTGAGAACAAACAGAGAAGACATATCAGAGACATGGCGATCGTATTGCAGGGACCTATATAAAGATGATCAACGCCAAGAGCTTGTTAGCCAAATCTCTGACGAGGTGGAAGAAGAACCTGATATACTCAAAAATGAAGTAAGACAGGCTATCAACAAGCTCAAATATAACAAAGCACCAGGTCCAGATATGATAACAGCAGAAATGCTTAAAGCCACAGAAGAAACCGGCGTAAAGTTACTTCATCTACTCTGTAACCAAATATGGCATTCCAAACAATGGCCTGAAGACTGGACAAAATCTACAATAACGACCATACATAAAAAAAGGCAGCTTCCATAAATGCGACAATTATAGAACTATCTCTCTTGTATCCCATGCCAGCAAGATAATGCTACAACATATAATCAATGAGAGACTGAAAACATTCCTTCAAAGAGAAATTCCACAAGAGCAAACTGGATTTACCAAAGGTAGAGGTACTCGAGAACACCTGCTAAATATAAGACAGATAATCGAGAAATCTAGGGAATTCCACATCCCACTATACATCTGTTTTATAGATTACCGTAAAGCGTTCGACAGGGTCAAGTGGAGACACTTATTGCGAATACTAAAAGAAGTAGGCGTACCACAACATCTAATTACGCTTACAACCGAACTATATGAACACACTACTGGATCAGTTAAAGTACTTGACACACTTTCGAACGAATTTCATCCAGAACGGGGTGTTAGACAAGGATATATACTATCTCCACAATTATTCGACATATATGGGGAGTATATTATGCGAAGAGCACTTGAAGGATGGGAAAAGGGCATCTCAATAAATGGTCATAAACTAAACAACCTACGTTTCGCAGATGACACAGCCCTTCTTGCAAATAGTCAAGCAGAGCTGATAGAACTTATACGACTGATCGAAAACGAAAGTCAGATATTTGGTCTGCAATTAAACATATCAAAGACAAAGATCATGATAGTGGATAGACTACACAACAATCATCCACACATAACCACAATTGACCGGTTCGAGGTTGTGAGCTCATACTTATATCTGAGATCATTAATCACAAACACAGGGTCATTACAAGAAGAGATTAAACGTAGATCTGATCTATCAAAAGTTGCCACAGCAAAAATGACCAAAATATGGAAGGACTGTCAAATTTCAAGAGCGATAAAGATGAGGTTGATCAACTGCTTAATATTCCCAATACTGACCTACGGATGTGAATTTTGGACTCTGAGACAATCGGAGAGAAGAAAGATAGACGCTACTGAAATGTTCTGTTGGAGACGAATGTTACGAATTCCTTGGACCGGCCGCAGAACAAATAATTCAATTTTAAGAGAGCTAAAAGTTAGCCAACGAATCTCTAGTAAAATCCATCTCCAACAATTAAAATATTTTGGGCATGTTATGAGAGCAAACACAGAAAACATGGAAAGACTCATAATACAAGGAAAGGTAGAAGGCCGAAGATCACGAGGAAGATCCCCAACAAGATGGATAGATCAAATTGCAGGAATATGCCAAAGACCTATGCATGAATTAAAAGAAATGACCAGAGACAGAGATCTCTGGAGACGGACAATACACGACATCACGTCGACCACTACACTCCCCCTGGGGGGTCAGGATTGAAGAGAGAGTTGTTGTATTAGTTTTATATGTGATTAAAAAAAACTGCTACATCCCAGATAGCTACTTATAGAAACGTATCAAAGAATTGTTTGTCTAATCTTGATTTTGCAGGATCTAAATTTTACAACTGTTTGCCAATTAATGTGAGAAAAGAAAATAATATTAAAAAATTCAAAAATAAATTAAAAGCATGCTTGATCCAATTATGCGTTTACAACCTAAATGAATAATTTGAAATAATAAAAGACTACAGGGAATAAGGACCGACGGGGTTCAAAGACGCTCTATATGACATATATTTTTTATATTAATCTATATTTTGTAGATTATGTTTTATATAACTATATGACTTGTACTATATCGCAATGTGATCTCATTGGATTAATAAAGAATATTCTATTCTTCTATTCTATAAATTCTTGTATATATATCATGTACTTCATTATCGTGTTGGAAAAATATTTGAAACCCATAGGCAATAGTCATATTCATTTCAAACAATTTTCCACGTTAAAGCAAAGTGTAAATCGTTATAGAGTTCACAGAAATTAATAACGGCAAAACAAAACCACCAAAAAGTTATAATTAAAAGTTAAATTACAATAAATAATGTAGACCCACGCAATCCCGCACTGTGCTGACATAATCGATATTGGGAGCTTATGCAAAATAGCCGGATAAATATTTGTACAGAAAGTCAGGTTGTACGAGATTTTAAAAATGTAAAGATAACTTTTCTAAAGGCAGGAAAATGACATAAGAAAATCAATTATGATGAGTTTATGCGAACTTATTTAATTAAAAAGAGATTTAATAAATTTATTATATTAATAAATAAAAACTAGAAACTTTTAATGAAAATTGAGAAAATATATTATACTTTTGGACTTTATTAATACACGCATCATTTTCCTTTTATTTTTAGTAGGGTTATCTTAACCCATAGTAATTCTATATAAGTCTTATCTGTGATCATGATCGTTCTAATATCTATTATTTTTAAATAAAAGTCCTGCCTAATCTTGCTCACTTCCTCTTTTTTAATATTTCTCTCTTTTCAGGAACGTTCAATTTGTATTTGTGCCAAATCTGGGCTTCCCCTCTTATTCTTCTTAGAGTGCCGTCTCCCTACGGAGGTTGGCAATCATAATGGCTATTTTTATTTTAGAACTTGCTGCTCTAAACAAATCAATCGATCTGCATTGGTACCAATCACGTAGATTCTTTAACCATGAGTTCTGCCTTCGGCCAACAGATCTTCTTCCTTGAATCTTTCCCTGTATTATCAGTCTCAAAATTTCATATTTTGGTCCCCTCATCACGTAGCCTAGGTATTCCAGTTTTCTGGTTTGTATAGTGGTGATTAGTTCTGTTTCTTTACCAACCCTCTCCAGTACTTCTTTATTTGTAATTCTATCAGTCCATGATATTTTCAATACTCTGCGGTATAACCAGAGTTCGAAGGCCTCGATTCTTTTTAAATTACATTTTTTTAATCTCCAAGTCTCAGCTCCATATAATAATATTGAAAATATATAACAGCGAATGGTACGTAGTCTGATCTCCAAATTTAGATTTTTGCACGTTAGGAGTGGCTTCATTCCAAAGGATACAAAGAGAAATAAATATCGTAAATGTTGTCGATAAAGTCAGCAAAAAACCATGACCACCACCATGAATTTTTGAAAATTATGGATAAAGACGAAGTAAAATGACTTGCCTTGATCTTCAACAATATATATCAAAGTGGAAAAATACCCTAACATTCGCTAAGATCATTTTTTATAACAATCCCTAAAAAACCCGATTACCCGAAAAGATTATCGAATAATAAGCCTTATGAACCATCTCCTAAAAACTTTTTTAAAAATTATACATAAAAGAATATATAAAAAGTGTGAAAAACACATGACAAACACACAATTCGGCTTCAGGGATGCATTGGGTACTCGAGAGGCACTTTTTGAAATACAAGGTCATATATATTACGTTTGTTTAAAGAAGTTTGGTAGGCTACTTGATTTAGGTGTGTCTGTATAAAATTTGGACAAACAGATTTCAGAAGGTTTTGCACAGTAGATCAGAAATCCTGGGATGTGCCATTTAATCCCCCTGATAGTTTCAGTATTTCGCATCAAAATACTGTGTCTAAAAGAAGTGTTTTGATTGAAGTATGTGGTTGTAAATTTTGTATCACATGCTCTTTTGAAAGTGGCAACTATGTCAATTTTATTGCGAGAAGAATATCTTTTCTGCTCTCACCCACTATGTAGCTCCTTCAATTAAATTAACTATTTGTCCGTTATCTTGTTTTATGTAAATGTATGATTTAATGTTTATCACATTCATAAAAGTGCTGGATAATTTATTTTTTATCTTTGTATCAATTTAATATTCTTT